ATTCCTGAGCCAGCCCGGTTCCCATCTCAGTTGTTTTAAATACCCTGCGTGGGACTCCTCACAAAATTAGGAGTACTAGCACAGGGAAAACAAGAACAGATTAATTACAGTTAAAAGGAAGATTCTAGTGGAGATTTACCTTCCATATGTGACCACTGGCTAAATGCAAACATGTAGCTTTTTTTAAAAAACATTTTTAACTTAAAGCTGCCAACACTTTGGAAAATCTTGAATACTAAAATAGACTTGTTTTTAGAGAGGCAAGCTGAACTTGTCGTTCAGCTTGTCGTCTGCGATGATGTGGCAACTCTCTTTAGGAGAGACAGGGTATGCACTTACCGTTCTGATTACTGTTGCTGGTCGTGCTGTCTTCCCTTTCCGACTGGCTGGTGCTGCTGTTGGAGGTTGTAGGAGGAGGGGACGGAGCTCTACTGGAAGCAGCACTTTCGCTTTCATCCAGGAGACGGTCCATATAATCTCTACACAACAGAAACAGCACATTCAGCATTGCCCTTGCTGCGTAAAGGATCGATGTTAATCATACCAAAATATTCACTGCATACGCTGCAAACGTGGTCAACGCACATCTCCTATCTTTTGAAACACACAGATTTCTCTTGCAAAGTTTACAGCTTTCAGATCTCCAGTGCTAACTGCCCACATATGGTTCGTCCACAGCAACTACATCTTTGTTGACCAGTCACTGCAGCTAGCTTATATAAATTCAGCCTGTGCTCGTGCTAAGTCCCACAAGATCACGTACAAGCAGAAAGTTCAATATGCTGTGATGTTGTGGGCTGTTTTCAAGGTGATGCTCTCCGGCAGGTTCATCCTAAGCTCTTGCAATTTGCTGCGGCAGCAATAAGATACCATTAAAGTAACTAAGTTTTGTGCACATACATCCTCAAAAGGGGTAAAGTTAAAAGCAAATGAAAAACTTCAGAGTTAAAGACACTTCCATATCTGAAATCTAGTACAGACCTACAATTTAGGTCACTAATAGTAAATCTCTTATGAAAGATTTAAACAAAGCTGGTTGGTAAAGCCCTTGTACGTATTGTATTAGTCTGGATTAACTCCAGAAACAGCATACCCTCACACATAATTACTCTGTGGCTGACACTTCACCCTAAATTCTCACATTTATCTGCAAATTCAGTCAAGAATAGTAAGTACAATCCTTAACAACACTTCTTCTGATACAGCTTTTGATCACCACATGCAATCAACTGCAAAAGAATCAGAGAATCTTTTAAGGGATTAACTACAAAAAAATTCTATTAATTTGGGCAAAAATGAAAAAAAAACCCCAAAACAAACCCCCAAAAACCAACAAAAACCAAGACGGATGGGAGAAGAGGGGGAGACAGACAGGCCCTGACAACTGGTTAAGAAAATCCAGCAGCTCTGGGTGTAACAGTCTACTTTATGAAGCCACAGATGGCAACCCTTACTGTCGTACTGCAAGTTCACTTCAGTGGTCCAACACACAGTTCCACAATGCTTAAAGACACAATAATATGAAAAAGAAGGCTGAACAGAGAACTCAGGAACAAATGAGAAGAAAAAAATAATGGTAAAAAGACTTGGAGAATGTCAGCAGAAAGAATGGGATACTAAAATCATAGTGCTGGAATGAAGGGCAGAAGAGTATGTTGGCTCACTTGCTCAGATCTGAGAGGAAAATACACGGCCATACACAGCCATTTCCCTCTTCGCCTAGCAGCGACGTGAATGGGGAAAGGAGCTATATACACCCAAAAAAGCCCTAGTACAGGGTACTGCGTTAGCCAGAACTCTTGCCAAACAATTCATTTCAAGAGTATACTACAGCAGGTACCGCAAATCCCACCCGAAGCATATGACTACTGCCTTTGTATAAAACATGTATTGGAAATAAAACAAGCATTTCAAAAAAGTTCCACACACTTGCAGAAATGTTACATTTGTGAAACATTTAAACAGAAAACAAACTAAATTAAATAGCTATTCCATGCAAATTGCTGGCCTTATTCCAAATAAACTTATTTTGGAAACGACATTGTACACACTAGTAAGCTTTTCTTACACCTTGGCTGTTTTCCTGCTGTAAATTGGGACTATGGAATCCCTAGGTTGTCATACCATTTCAGATTAGAGCAGTAAAAAATAAAGATTTAGATCCAACATGTCAAAGCACATAAAAATAATGCACATCTTACGTTACACCAGGATGGAGATTGTATTTCTTCTTTCCAAATCGGGTCTGCTGCGCAAAGAAATCATAACGCTCTGATTTCTTCCACATGTAATAAAATGCTACACACTCACCAACCGATCTTGTTCGTACCTAGGAAATACGTGCCATGCAAATTTTGATGAATTTAAATACATTTTGGGCAAAAAGCTACCATTTAAATCAAAAGGTGTGAAATTCAAAGTCAATGCTTCTTTATACAACATAGGAAATAATGGAAACTATTGACTTAAAAGTTCAGAGGCCCAGAAATTGAAATGCAAAGTTTAACAGGGTCTCTAAGAATACTGAAGATATCGTGAGGTGCCGCAAGCAGCAGCTTTAGGAGGACTATTCAAGTCTGTTTCACCAGTCTATTCAAGACCAGAATAAGACTCCGGGGATGCAGATCTTCCCGTAGGTACGCAGAGCAGGATTTTTGCACTTTTCAGAGCTTAGGGTTCACAGAGGATTCTGGACTTTAACAAACCAATTTGGATACAATGTAGTAAAAATTAGAAGCAGTAAACGTAGTAATTTGTGAAGGAAATCAAGGATAAGAATTTATTTACAATTACATCGCTTTAAAAAGATGTGAGAACTACACTTTAACTTAGCGTTTACCTTATTTGCCTGAATCACATGAAAATCCTTGCCATAGACTTTCAGTCCTTGCTCAAAGTTACGACATTCTTCTTCTGTCCAAACGGATAATTCTTCTATACCAAGGAAATGCAATAAAGAAAATTCTTACCAAAAAGCATACGGCCAATGAAAGAAAACTTAAGTGACAGAAAACATACGTGGTATTCAAGGTTCTTAGACCAGCTGCTGCCTAAATGAGAACCACCTCCAGAAATTTTACTTACTAGCACAAAAATGAAAATTCTCCCTTCTAGCGAGTAGGTGGGAAATTTGGCTGCCTTAAGTAGCTAGCTGGTAGGGATTGTTATAATGGGTCCGTAGCTCCAGCCCCGCCACACAGGGGAAATAACTAGGCAGCAGCGGGAGGAAGAAGGGCTGAGAAACGTGGTCTCACCATTCTGCCCCTAGAAGCGTAGGAAGCAGGGAGCCCTCAAGCCAGGACACAGCTTGAAGGAGTTCATGCTATGGACTCAAACTGATTGCTGGCACTTGGAAGAGGGAAAAAGAATGAGGAATGAGATCGTCTTCACTGCTGGCAAGAGCCAGCAATGCTAGGCTGTTAAAACCAGTCAGGTAGAATAAGAGACTATGCTGCTCACATTATTGGGTGGGAAATCTCAGCCCCACAGAAGCCAGAATAACCCCCTAATAACTTTCAGTCACGCTTCCAAGAACTTAATGTAATTTGGCCTTATTGATTCTTAAGGTCATGAATAAATAAGGTTTGAAATAGTGGGAGAACAAACTAATCTTCTCTATTTGATCATTCTTGTCTTGTGATTTGCACAGTAAACTCTGGAGAAGCCACAGGTTTGGAAGCTGAACCAACAGATCAATGTGCGAGGAAAAGAACTTATGCCTTCTCTTAGTTTCTTGTTCCTTTGAATATAAAGATCAATACCAGACCAGGAAGTGCATAAGGCTCCAAAGGCGTCTTTAAGACCAGGGTCTTTTTAGTGTTATACTTTGTTAAATAAAAGGTTTAGATGCTCATTCTCCTTTATTTAGCATTGTGAATTATTTCATTTTATATTTCATGTTTGTTCCGCTAACTGTGATGACTGAAAAGGTCTAGAAGAACAAAGAACAAAATGCCCAAGAAATGCACGATTCAGTTGCTAAGACGTAATTTTAAATTTTAGCTTCTTTATTCAAGTCACAGATATAAGTATCAAGCTCTACTGACAGGAAGTTAATTTACACGCCCTCTTTAGGCATGTACCCTTTTATACTGCATCTGCTAATCTCATTCTCTTGGAGAACAATAAGAGATTCACTGAAGGCTGCATTGAAATGGGCACTGATGCCTAAGGCTTACAGGCAGTCAAGCTCAATCTGCTGACAGCAAAACCCAATGCCTGTGTAACAAATAAAATGACAGCTCGACAATATAAACTTCACTTTCAGCGTATACTCACCTCTGGCTGCTTTTACATTAAATCTCAACCTTCGTAACGATTCTTCAGTATCAAAATTGCACTTAACCAGTTCATACAATGCCTGGAAAGATGAAAAGACACACATTTAACGTTCTACATACCACTCAATGTATGTTGTGCCACAGAAGCATACTTAGTAAATCACTAATACCTATTAAGAAAAGATTAAAATTAAACTCTTTAAACGAATGTAATATAAGATAGCACAAAGACATATTTCCTCTATTTAAATTCACAAATCTCTAATTACATAAGCAAGCATATATCCAGGCAAAGTATTTTAACATTTTTATCCACTGCATACATTTGTAAAATTGATGGGGTTTTTTGTATGAAGAAGAAAATAAGTATGCATTCATACAGCTTTAAAAGAAATCTGTAACTGAAAGAACAGAACTCATTCATACACAATTATTTATATATAAAATAATGCACTGATGCATAAAGCAACACTAACCCTAAGTTAACAGTTTAATATTTGTTGAGAGGTAAAAACCCCATCACATTTCTATTTCCACAAGGAATAATAAAGCTGTTTCAAACACAGTTTTAATTCTTGGGAGTGAAATAAAATAAAGGGATAATTCATTCTGTAATATTAAACTACAAATCCTAATTATCCTTATATACCTGTTCATTGTCTTTAATATGTGATCCTTCAGGAATTGCATCTAGGCCCTTCTCATCACCCGTACGCCTTGATGCTTCATTTAGGAACTCGATCACTTTATCTTCTGGTAAGAAGTCAGGATTCCACAGCAGCTGATCATCATTTTCATACACTGAATTAGCCACAAGGGGGTGGGGGGGGAAAAAAAAAAAAGCTAAACCAACAATATAGAAGTTTATTGTCTCTTATAAAGTTAGTGATTATGAAATCTTGGAAGATCATTAGAGCACCAACATTAATCCAGAACACACCCAAGGACAGGTCAAAGATATTCTCGTGAATGCGGTGATCCAAATGACTGCGATCTTCTACCTTATATTGTCCTCACATCTCTGGCATAATCTAGATTCTAGGACCCATTTATGAAACTCCAGAAACTCCACCTTCCCTGTCCTCCTCCTGAACCCACTGAAATCACGAGGTAGCAGCACTACCGGGCACAGTCCTGAATGATCCACCCGGCATGCCTTTACCCCAAGCAGCGCAGTTTTGCTGACAGCAGCCAGCAGACATGGAAAACTATTTCAGAAACTAATAATGTATGTTTTCTTCCAAGACGACTAGGATCAGTCACATAAAACCAAAAAGCACACCACCAAAAATGGTGCTGAAAACACTACCAGGTGTCTGGACCACTAAATCTAAAAGTCTCAGCTAATATGGCTGGCAAAAGCCACTGCTTGTCCAGGGAAGATGACACCCAGGGCCAGACATTCTGAAGTCAAACAGCTCCTGAAAGAAACTTTGCTAAGACCTTCCTACTACTTCCAAGAAATACTCTCTAAAACAAAATAATTCAGGTAAAGATCACTGAATATTAACACCACCAAACCTCTAGTGTTTTTGCAGAGCTTTTGCATGAGCTTGCAGATGGGGGAAGTCACAGTAAATGGAAATTAATGGGAGGAAACATGGCCAAAGATATATCCTCTGAATTATAGCCCATTTTGAAGAACCTACAAGCTTTATGAGATTAAAATAACAGTACAGCAAAATAAAGTAAAATTCAGGTTATTAAAAAACAGAATCAGGAAAGTATCCAGACCTTGCTTGTGTCTCAGTCCTCAGTGAAAGATAACCTTACCGAAACCAGCAAGAAAGTAACTTTGATTCCCTTAGTTCAGTGAGCACCTTTGACTCTTACTCAAGAAGAGGAAGGAGGAGCGAACACTTGGGAAAGGCTGGTCAGCACAGGAAGGGAGATACAGTAGCGTTCTGTGCGGGTGGAAAGGTCAGAGTGGCACCTAGGTGCACTTCTACTTGAAAAAAAATTATTTTCAACATGGAAGTAGACTACAAATAAAAAAAGCAGACTACAAATAAAAACCCAAACCGGTAAGGAAAACTATTAAGTGTCTTGCAAAGAAAGACAGCTTATTTCACAAACGACATACTCTTTGGAAACAGCTCCCAACAATCTTCTGGGAGCCTTTTTTCCCAAACGCTAGTCCTAATCTGATGTTGGTTGCTCATTTAAGAAGACGTCTCTAGGCACCCTGGCACACAAACTCCAGCAGAAGCAACAATTCTTTTCAGGAGATGATGGATAATTGGTTCTAAGCCACCCTTAGTGATGCATGCCAAGTACCCTGCAATGCTCATGAATGACAGCGGTCAGTACGTCTCAAAGCAGCTTCAGCACCTTTCAGTTTTCAGAGCTATCCTTTGATTTTCAGGTCCAAGCCTTCTAAAAACGTATCTTTTAATTGTGTAGAGTTGTCATAACCTGTAATTGTTTAGTAGCAGCTAATTTGGTCTCCAGGCATACTTCTCAGAGAGCCAGTCCACTGTAATTAGCTTAGTGTAGATTAAATTGTGGTTCTTTCCTCATAACAGCATGTCAGAACACATTCTGAAAAGCAATGTGGTTATTCTTAAGAGTTCTAGCATTTTTGTGCTTCTGCATATGGGACTGGATATGAAAGGACTAGTCTTCTCAGTGTTTGGGAATTTTATAATTAAAATTTCCCCTTCATTAGAGAACAACTAAGATGATAGGACATGTACATGAAAGTACTAAATACGCAGTCTCAGACATTTATTTTTCAACTTTCTAAGCTTCATTAATATTCCAGTTGGAGTCCTGTCAAAGATTATATCCAAAACACAGCAGAAAGGAAAGAAGTGGCAGAAGATATAAAACCCCACTGGTATATAAAACTAGAATAGCCCTAGCATGATTAGAGAAAATTTGACTTTCCCCCTCAATGGTTTTTGCCCATGACGTAGGTTCTGTTTCGTGCAGTAGTGTGCAAGACTATGAAAAACTGTTTTATATAGGTTACTGCAATGTACACAGCAGCTTTATCTTTTTATTATTGGAGGCCAGAAGCCATTTAGAGCTGAGTAAATACCAGGAAAAGCAGGTGACTGACCAGTAAAGCATAATTTACTGCATCTCAGGCAAATACATGGTTCAAGCTCTATTTTCAGACAGGAGCATGAAAGCGTGCAAAGAGCAACTTCGTCACAGCTAAAAAGCTAAAAAGATGTTTGCTAATTTGCCATTTTCTATTTCTAATGGAAGCTCCTGACTTCTCATGTAGTTTTAAATTACATTCTCTTCAACCTCTCTCGGTCCCAATCTGGAGCTGATGAATGTGTCAGCTTCGGTGTGAGCCCGCTCTCAATCGACAGCGGGACTGATGTTTGTTTTAGACAGTTTCTAGCTAGATCAGGCTACAACATAGCTACCGCAACCTGGAACTCGAAGCAAGACAACTGCTACTCCTTGAGTATATACTCAGATTCGAGGAAGGCACCGAGTTTTGTGCTGGTTAGTTTAAAAACTAACCTGTATAAAACTACAAAAGCTGCAGTCTCAAACTGACCTGGAGTGTAAACAAATTCTTAGTAATGGGCTAAATGAGCAGGAACATTTGCTTCTGTTAAGCTCACAGCTGGGTTTAAACTGGGTCTACCTTTCCTGACTTGATTATATTGACAGTGTACAGCTAAAGGCTCTCGTTGTGAGGAGGGAGGAAAGTTCTGGGAAAAAAACCCAGAAATAAAACGACAGGTTCTTTAATACTGATTGAAGAATAATAAAATGTGAAAATCAAAGCTGCTGGTACCATTTTGCCTCTTTCAACGTGTTAATCCTATTCCAGCAGCACAACTTCTTTATTATCTGTTTTGTTTTTACATAATCTAAATGTACTAGGTGAAGAGGTTAACAGAAGCTACATCGAGAGCTTGTGTACATTACCAAATTAGAATACAAGGTTCAATAGGCAATAAGCCAGCAAAATAATCCTTCTTTTCCCCTTCCAAGACTCAAGCTCTGATGAAGTAGTACAAGATGAACTGCAGTTTGAGACGATGGTTCTATTTTTCACTTGAATGAGCCCTTTTATTTTGCAAGACACATGACATCAGTCAAATCTTTTATTTCTCCCCATGAGAAAATAATCTCAAACATAGCAATAACGGTAATAGTGCTAAGTCTCACCTTTTTCATTCTCTTTGTATTTGCATATGCCAGCTGGAATTTCAGCTTGAAACATAGAGCCCACCATGATTTCCTGTTTTGAAATAACAGAAACAAGAAGTTAAGCAACCACAGTCGTGCTGGTTTTTGTTAGCAAACAAGAGAATGACCACATCTTTTTTTACCCCTTAAAATTTTCATTGTTCAAAATCTATATGGAGGCAGGCACTACATGGAAATGGATTTTTGACTATTTGGGCAGGTCTTCCACACTTCTTACTATGAAAACTCTTAGATTCATGGGGCAAAACTGGAGAGGATGTGTGTGTTCTATAGAGCTCAGAGTTACTAGGTAACAGATCAACTCACTATTCATGAAATACAGGCTTTTTTAACAGCCCTCAGTATTTACCTTTTTCCAGTCTTCTGAGGGAATATAATCTTCATCTTCTTCAGATTCCTCTTCTATTTCACTATCTGCAAGACATTGTTCAAACATTTACACAAAACGAGCCGTGATGGGCCCCACGTCAGCCCAGCAAAGTGGGCTGAGCGAGGGGGTCTGGGACGTCGCAGCTAGCTCCTGGGAGTGCTGCAGCGAGGGCGAGAGGGGACACGAGCCCGGCCTCTCATCCCACCAGGCTCCAGCTGCACGGCAGCCCTGCTCTGCCTCACTGCTATCTTACCTAACACCACACAAGCGGCAACGGCAGTTTTAGTGACAATACTAAATGTTTCAGTATTGACAACTTTAAAAAATGACCCACCCCATGAGAATGGATTGATACACACAACAGGCTCTTAAAAGTTAAGGCACAAATGAATACATCCATCAATTTTACAACTACCTAATTAAAATTTGCTTTCCCTCACACAGCTTTGAAGCAGTTGAGATGATCCACATGCGAATTTACTACAGTTACTTTCCGAAAATGTTTTTATGTGGATGTTCAGGTTTCTGCACCATTTTCAATGAGCTCCTGGCTTAGTTCCTGCTGTTCTTTTTCCCTTACGGTCACTGAATTTAAGGTAGACTACAGCAAAAGGTGCGAGAAATCTGCAAGTGTGCTTTTCTCAGTCTTACTGGGATTTAGTAGGCTTGGATGTACTGCTGAGAAATGCACAGCAGCATTTAATATAGATTATTTCGGATAAGGACTGAAAAAATTTTAAGCTCTTTATGATATAGGCTAGTTGCCTTCCACAATGTACTGAAAGCAACTACAGTATCTGGTTTATGTATAGCACGTGGTAGTATCAGCACTAGAATTATTTGTACATTAAATTACATTCTCTACACAGCTGAACATTGTAAATAACCCAAAACCTAAAGCAATCCACTTGACTATGCTAATAGTATCTTTAAAAAACAGAGTTCACTTAAGATACTTGCAATCCTCTGCATAGCTACATGCTGAAGTTCCTTGGCATTTCTGGATTAAAATAAACTACACATTAGAAAATGGCATTTCTACAACGTCATGGCTAATAAGTATCAAGTATAAGGTATCATAAGGAACCTTTGTTTTAACTTCTGTTCGTTACAACATGTAGCAGTAGGAATTCAAACACTGGCAACAGTCACTTCCATCAAAGAAAGGTAAAATATCTGTTGTCCAAAGGGCCCTGCTGGCAGCTCAATACCAAAAGGTTTAGATCCCATTGCGTAAGATTGCCACAGAAATGAGAGCTGTCTAAAGGGACAGCTAAATTACACTAGCTCAACAGTCTCAAACAGATGCAAAACCAATTTTTAAACAAGAGGGGAAAAAATCAGTCCACAATGCTGGCCGCAGTATCAAATGTGGAATGCTTGAAGCAAATTTTATTCATCATTATCTCCCCATTACCATTCTATGATTTTGAGCATAAGCAAGAGCAGTGTTACAAAAGAGAACAAACAAATGTTTATAGTTATCACCATGCGTATTTCAGAAACAGAATATGATGTTAACTCAAGCAGTTCCCAACTAAAGGTCAATCATATTGAGGTGACTGTGCTTAGCATTAAACTGTACATACTTGTATCAAAATATTTACATCGGCGAGGGCGAATTATCTCCTGTGGATCTTGAGAAGCAACAGATGGTGCTGGGTCGTCATTAGATGACTGTGTCTCATCTTCCTGACCTGATGAATCTTTTATGGTCTCCTCCTTACATATAAAAAAAGCAAATGGGACATCAACTATCCCTTATATTTGACAAACACTACTTTGGCAATATTTGTTTCCAAAATTGTCAATATATCAAACCCAAATATATTTTATCTGGCTTGAAGTGACTGCATAGATTGTGGCCTGTCCAGACTGAGCCACAACAAATGTGTAAACACATCATATGATTTCTTGACCAGGATTTCAAGCAGATCAATGTAACACTTGGACTCTAACATACAAATCAGAAATACGAACCACAATGAAATATCATGCCTAGTTATTTTAAATCAGACAAGTAAAAATCCTTGCAGTTTACATTTAATTTCATTTAACTTTAAATTTTACTTCAGTCTTTAAAAACCCTTCCTTACGAATGTTCAATTAAAAAAAGGGAGGAATTATTTACTGGCTATACTTTTCTCAATCAAATGAAAATAGTACCTTCCATAAAAATTAATGTCAATAGTGTGGGTCAACCCCACAGGAACAGCATATCAGCAGAATCGAGCAGGTACATCAAGTCATTAAAAGATCAAAAATTCTACCAAGTTTCTTTGTTAGAAGACAAACCACAACAACTATGGGACTTATTACAATTACAGAAAATTAAAATGATAAAAGTTAAAAAATATAATAGTGTTTTCTATTTCAATGCATGTTGTAAATATCTTTTCTGTGGTTTATGACTGTGATGCAAGCACTCACACTTGCTAGTTCTAACACAGAAGCATTAGGCACAGCACAGGTTTGTGTACCTTTACCAGCAACCAGAGTATTATCACATGTGCAGCTTAAAGCAGATTAAAAATAGAAAATAGCTAAGTGCAGTATGGCTAAATAAGCTGTAGAAAGATGAGCACTTGCAGAGAAAGCTTGAATTATTTATAAAATTATTCCGCCCCCACAGATGTATTTTACTGCCTCTCTGCTAAGAGCATGCAAGCGTTTCAGAGCTCTCAGTCTTGTACCCTGCGGCAAACCACCCTAACAGGTTAGCTAGCTCTCTTCGTGCCCAGTCCTCCCTTGGCTCCAGCCCTACGGAAAATGGGGTAGAACAGGCCAACAGAGCCACTCCGCTCAGCCCCCGTGCCAAGCCTGCCGCCAGGCTAACCCATCGGCCGCATCTACTCTGCCAGACTGCAAGGCAAACGGTTGCTGTGTTGCTGCGGAGGGGCAGGAGTGCGCTTGCTCCTGCAGCACGAGGAATGCGCTTGCTCCTGCAGCACGCTAAGTGTTAGTGCCCTGCGGAGGGACAAAGACAACTCCTCTTGCTGCTAACAGCAGTGATGCACACCGAGGCTTTATCCATTTAAGAGAAAAGATAGGCGGTATCTTAAATCAGCCAGTAATAGAACTACAGAGGGGGTCAGAGAACACAGAAAATGGAAGTTGAGTCAGGAAGTCATTAAGAAGCAAGGACACAAGAAGAAAGCAAGACTTTAGGAACAGCACCATGCACAACGAAATAAACCACTTTTGTGTTTCATTTTAATTTTGCATACTTCATGTTAGGTAAGTTTCTCCCCCTCTCCAGCTTCTTGAACCTTTTTGGATGTATCTTTCTTCTCTTTTAACTATTCAACCCATACAAATAGCAATCTTTTACAGCATCTGTCAAGGGAGTTTGTAAATCCCAAGAACTTCATTTTTTCTGAATCAGATATACCATTCCTCATCTCTGTGTCGCATTCCAGAGATTCTAAAATGCGTGAGATATCAAAGAACAAACTGAAGCCTTTTTAAAGCCAGATTAGTTAATGCAACTTCCATTAGTGCCTAAGCTTTTCTGTTACTGACAATACAAAGGGTTTCATATTTTAATGGAATTCAGGATGCAACTCTGAATGCCACCAGTAAGGGAGAATTTACAGCTGTGCCCTTGACAGGACAGGATTGTTACAAATATGTATGACATATACGAGTAGAAAAGACTCTTCTAAAATGTGAAGATTTATTTTAAGAGCACACAGAACAGGATTTTAAAGATGCTAAGTTCAAACAGTTTTCAAAGATATTTGAAGCATTAGATTCAGTTAACAATTTAAGTACAACTAGGGCTGCCAGGCTGAAAAAATGCAATTTAAAATGCAGCCATTTCCAAACCTCAGAGACACATTTAATTCAATTCTACACTTCACTGTTCAGTTTCAGTAGATCAGCTTTTAATCTTGAAACAAGTATTCATCCAAACCTATAAAGGTGCCTTCAGGCATTTAAAACTTCAATTTTGAAGCCAGACTATTTCTGAAGGACAATTACAACCCTTTCTTACATGATGCTACATGTATCCATGCACCCTAATTTGCCACAGCAACAGTTTGGAACGATACAGATGAAATTAAGAGCAATGAAGAGAAACACAGATGGGTAATTAAGAATAAACATTAGAGTTCAGCACACAAAGCATCTGAAATCAATTATATCATGAATTACTTCTGCTATCTCGAGTGGTTGTCTAGTACAGAATGGCTGTATGAAAATCAGTTTCAAATTAGTGTAAGCACTTACTTTGTTTTCACCGCTACAGCCACTGTTGTCATCATTATCAACATCATCATCATCTTCTCCCTCCTCCTCTTCCTCTTCATCATCTTCATCATCATCATCTTCTTGGAGTGGAATGGTACCATCATAGCCATAACGGCTCAGTAGCTCCTGGATTGGCATATCACTTTCCTGATAAACATCCAAACAAAGTTTGGGATTTTAACAAAACTATTGCACATCCCACACTTCTCTACAGCTTAAAGGTGTGCATTTGAAACAGACCACAGCAGAACCAGACAGGTGATGGTCACGTATGCTAAGAATAGCCACTCCAAAATGAATGGACAGTCAGAAGTTTTGGCTCCTAAGAAAAATGTGTGGCGTTTTATGCAGGGGACCTTTTTCCCTTTTTTTTAATTTATTTTGAAATTTACAGCAGACCACACATACCAACAATCTCTCAAAGGGGCCATAAAGCTCATGAAAAGGGCACCTAAGGGCAGTGTACCCCATCCCTCCCTTGGTACCTGTCTACTAGTATTTTACTGAAACACAAGCACTGCAATGTGGCAGGTTACGTCTGGTTACATCATCCCCCTTCAGTACACAGAGTGAACACGCTCCTTATCGGAATATATCTCCTCGGTATTCCCTTTACCACCCAAAAACTACCTGAAAAAATTGTAGTATTTTGTACATATTTGTGGGAAAAAAAGACAAATTGTATGTCAGCAGCAACTGCTTTGTGCAGACAGCTAAGATACTGACAGTTTTTGCAGGCAGAAACTGGTCCTAGAGCAAGGCAGTGATTTTTGCAATGTCTCCAAGAACACAGCAGAATAAGGACCAGAACTTGCAGTACCTGGCTTGAGCATGGAGTTTAATCTTCCTGGGGAGTTGCACTAGAGGGACAGTTCTACATAGTTCTGCAACCCTGGCTTCGAATAAAAATTACACCAAAAATGCACCTTTCCGTCTCTCTGTGCCTCTCCCCTTTCTGGGGGGGGAAAAAAAAAGGAGGGGTTGGATGGGGGTGAGGGATCACCTTATATGCAGGATCACCTGATATCCAGGTAAAGACAGTAGTAATGTTTACGGATTCATATAAATTTTAAGGTAGTTGTCTACAAAACCATCCACAGCTGGAAGCAAATCTACTAAAATATGTGCATATTTAAAAATCTTTACATTTAGAATGCTGGTCCACTCTGAAAAGACACTTCGAATGATACAGTCGGTTCTCAAATTTAGTGGCTCCCTGTTATCAATTGCATTCACTTTATTAAGAAAAAATATTAATTGCCAGGTCTGCAAATTACTTTATTACTTTTGATACCTCAGTATCCAGCCTTCAGTATATGGCACCCCTAACGAGATTTTTCAGAACAGAAACTTTCAGAGAGTGTTTTAAAATTATCTCTCTCATAAGAACAAATCCTTTGTTTATTACTTAGAGGTGTCTGCCTGCTCTAAAGATTTCTTCAGAGTATGTAATGTACATATCGTCTGATAATCAGATTTTTTTAGTTATCGGCTGACCTTAGACTTTCTCCAATGAACTCTCTTCCTAAAGACCTTCACTGATCAACACATCTCTAGTTTCTGGAAACTAACAAAACCAAGTGTTGTAAGTTCTGCTGTGTAAAAATAAGAGTAACGTAGGGGTTAGCAGTACTCATTGTCTGTGTATCTTATTTTACTTCAAAGAACTAAGCCATTCTACCACTTATTGGTCTACTCTTTGGTTAAGCTACAGATGCAGACCATGTGGAGCTAAATGTCTTCATCCTCCCTCTTGACTTCTTGGTCCCTATCGTATCATTTTATGGAAAGAACTTTTAGAAGTGGGGAATTAATATTTTACTGACACAGACAACATGACAGGACTGTGACCTTAATTAAAACCTGACAGTAAAGGTATCAGAAAAATCCTATTCATAATTATTCAAACAAATGTTCTCCAGTACATTTTGGAAAGTAATATACTTTCATTAAGCACTCATCACCACTATCCCATTTGTAGATACAGACTGAGAATTAAAAAGAACTTTTACTACAACTCGTAGGTATGTCTGAATGATGTAACAGGCATATTACTATATGTTACCTAGGAAAGTGGTATTGTGTTTACAACATTTTTCTTCGGTAGAGCCTCTTAACTTCAAATTACAATTCAGAAAGCCCCAAGGGTCAGCAAGTCTTCAAGATAAAATACATACCATGATTTCTTTACTGTTTCAGGATATTGCAAAAACAAGTCTTATCAATGACACAGAAACTTCTTATGTGGAAGATGCTTAATAACAAGAAATGAATTATAACTCATGTGTCTGGAGTAGAGGTAAGCGAGGGGGAGTGATGTAACAGAGAACTGTATCATAAGCAGCACCAAGAAGGTAAATATAAATGACTGTACACTCTTCTGATTGAAGAGCTCAGGGGCAACCATTGAAATAAACACAGAATAGTCTGAAAAACCAAATACGTTTCTCTCACTAAATGAACTGCGCAACATTGCCACATGCCTTGTGGACACTAAGTCTACAGAGGTTAAAAATAAAATGGCAACATCCATGGGAGGGGGAAAAATAAGACTGACAGGCACTACAGACAAAGAGACAACATCTTTTTCATATGTGCCTGAACTGCACCCTGCTAGAGGCTGGAAGAATATCTGGGAGAAAGACTGCACACTTGCATGTATGGTTCTCTCGTTTAAAGACAAGAGGATGCTGGTGCATAACCCTAAGAAAACCCAAGAGCTCTCCCTGAAAATGGGGACCCCAAAAGGAGAAGCCAAGTGATTACATGGAACAACAAATGGAAAAAGGGAGGGAGTCAAAAGCTTAAAAATCTGTAAGTAATGCAGGGAGGCGCGACACACAGCATCCTGGCAATGCCTACCACTTCCTAGAGGCACCCACAAAGCCAGCACACACCACCCAGTAGTGCTCTGCCCGCAGACAGAGCAGCACAAAGGTAAAGAACTTGGCCTCGCACTCACCAAATACTCCACATCACACTCCCTCCAGCTGATGCTTTGTATAGTCAGCTTGGTTAAGAGTGGGAGGAAGTTGAGTTTCTGCAACTTGCTGGGGACTGGGCACTTCTTATTTCCAAGACAGAGTGTGAATGCAGTTTCCTACTCCAAAATTATGCTGCCAAGTTTTGTGCGTTTTGGAAAACTGCAGCGTCAGCATATGCCCAGGACGCGAAGAGGTGTGCCTCATCCCAGGCACACCAGAAGGAATACTGGTTAGCCAGGACTTTGGTCACATCTGGTATAGGTGCTCCTACGTACAAAATTAGTATTACTGAATACATGTCTGGATATGATCAAGGGTAGTCTGCTGTACCACCTTGCAGGTAGCTTTCCTGCCCAAGAAAAACTCTCTCCTTTCAAGAAATACCACTGAGAACCACCAAATCCAATACTCAATACTTCTGATGCCCTTCAGGTACTGCTCTGCTCTCAGGGAACTGTATTTTTTCCTACACTAGAGCAGCACAGAGGGTGACCTCAGGTCTCTGGACACAGCTATGCTACTGCCACTTAGACAAAAATGTATACATGTACTTACCCAGACAAATGCAGGATGCTGCTCATCCTCAAGTACTAACGCATTACAGACTCACCAGAGTTTCAACCAATGAGTAGAAAAGATCTTTACCCTCAGATGAAGTTTTAATTTATGACAGTCAGGAGTGAAACCATTAAGGTTCAAAAATGCTTTTGCAAAACCTGACTGCCACCTCATCTCTGAATGAGCTGAACTAGTAAATCAGGTACCTTCGCAGCCTGGGGGAAATCTGAAATAATACGTGTAAATGTCAGGGGAAAGAAAAAGACAGGATAGCACTTGTCTTGACAATAGTTTTGAGATTTAGATTGCCTATCATCCATGATTGAAAAAAAGAGGTAAAATCTTGATGCGCAGCCCGTTATCCCACAGCCAGAAGTAATCACAGGTCTCTAGCAAGATCCTGCTGGCATGGAAGCATCTGAAACTCAGAAAAAGCCCGACCTGCAATACACAAATTGACCGGAAGATTCTCTGCCAGTCTGTAAAAGTGTCCTGCAGAGTAGAGCAGCACAGGGAGCAACATGACTCTCAGTTACACCATTGCTCGCCCTCCTGATCACAGAAGAGCTGAAACATGGAGGAATTATAAACTTGCAGCCCGACAACCAAGAAATGAGGGAACAAACTGATGGTTGAAATAAAGTTATAAACAAAGCATTGTAATGTGGTGATGGAATTACACAACCAGATGTTGACTGTTCACAAAATATGAGGGGGGAAAAAAACAAACACATATTCAACTTAAAAAACACATGACATACATGCAGAGCTCCATTTCTCATTTAATCTAGATGAACCATATTTAGATTCACAAACTATTTATTTATCTTTATCTTTACCATTTAATATCAAACCTGAAATTACCAGAAAGAAATTATCATTTACAGCTGAAATGTAGTTAAACTGCACTAAATTAAATTAAAGTCATATTGGCATAATCACTTATACTAAATAGGATTTGTACATCAAATATGCAACTGAGAATCATTAATGATCTGTTCTGGAAGACTTTTCAGCCAATGAGGCCACAGACAGTATCTAAATTACTTTGCATTTATAATGAACCTAGTTTGTAATTTAAGAATATTATTCCTGCCTAAGAAATAATTTAAGACAATACATAAGTGACAGCATAACCTCAAAATGCCAAATAAATCTTATATGCAATTATTTCAGAAGATACACATTTTAAGATTCATTTATCACTATTAGCAATAATTGTGAGTTCTGATCCCAGCTCTGCTGACAACTCTTTGCTTTGAGCAAATCACTTCATCTGCATCTCCATTTCCTCTACCTTAAAAATGAAGTTACTTCCAAGTAACTAGCGAAAGGACAAGAGGAAATGGTCTCAAGTTGCGCCAGCAGAGATTTAGATTAGATATTAGGACAAATTTCTTCCCCAAAAGAGTGGTCAGGCATGCCACAGGCTGCCCAGAGAGGTGGAGGCACCAGCCCTGGAGGTGTTCAAAAAACGGGTAGACGTGGCACTTCGGGACATGGTTTAGTAGACATGGTGATGTTGGGTCGATGGTTGGACTTGATGATCTTAGAGGTCTTTTCCAACCTTAAGATTCTATGATTATATGATTCTATGAAGATACTCCTATATGCTCCACTAAAGTATTACACAAATGTTTGTATAAAAATGCAAAAGAAATGTAAAATTATGGGATTTTTTAAAAAAATCCAAATCTATACGCACTAATCAAGCACAAGTGCTTTAGAAAATAACATTGGAATATACAAGTTTAGTCAGAGCACACCTCAATTTATATGAGCTCTAAAATGCAAATCCTATACCAGCACATATATGCAAAAAGAAACTAAACAAGCACAGTGTTATACATTACTAAGTATTTATGTACCAGTTTCCTTGTCTCAACTTTTGAGAACTGCAAATTTAGCTCGGCCCCTTTCACCCGTCTTTATTATTTATCTATTACTGGGTTCAGGGGTGGGTTTTTTTAAAAATTACAAATAGAAGGGAAAAAACCTGCGTATGCTTTGTGTGAGACTGTGGGCTGTGATTATGTTTTATGACTACTTAAGGCTACCTACCCTGTTAAGATCCTCTATTTCAGAACTGAAGTTTGTTTCTCCTTCCATCATTTCCTCCTCTTCTAATGTCCGTTCATCATCAAAGTCATGCACCAGCATATCAGCTGATGGATCAAATTCATGGTCATCAGATGTTGCTGAACCTCCTGATAGAAAACATTTTAAAGAATGTTTTTAGTTAGATCATGGCCTCACAGAGGGTTTTTTTTTTTATTTTGGTGACATTTTAATACTCAAATTATAGAGAAATTAAAATATCTTCAAAATCCCTCAATCATTTATCTTAGGGAAAGCCAATCTCGTTATTCAGAGGAGAGTGAAAGCTGTCCTTCGGGTGGTAAGAGATCATGGAAAAAAGAACCAGGAGATATTGTTTAACCAGACAGTTCTCAAGGTACTACATATCTGGACATCGGGTGCCTAGTTAAATGTTTGTAAAATGTTCAATTTATGAAGACTTAATTCCTAAATAATCATAACCCTGTCTGAATCATGAGTTCTACTGGGAGCAGAAATACTCATAAAATATAAACTCAGGGCAGTTGTTTCCTTGATATTTTGCAAGCTTTCTTGTTTACAACTATACAGACAATCTAACGACTGTTCCAAAATTTAAACTGAAAAGTAAGCTTCACAGTTATGCAGATTTTATTTATGATGCAGAATCCTTAATTATTTTTCCCCATGCAGTTTTTTCACAGCTCTTTGTAAAGAAGTCTGGTTATATTTTATGACAATGAAAAATAAATGAATGGATGAATGGTTTGGCAGATGCAGCATTTTTATGTAATTCAACAATATCTGATTTCTAATTCTAACTCTGCTAGCATTTCTCCACTTGTCCCCATGGACAACTTAAATTTCATTTTCCAAAGGCTGAAGAGCGTACCCACGCTAAGGGTGCAAGAGGGAGAGGTTGACTATAAGGGCTAAGGTTAACCATACTTTGTAGTTCCAAGTGCTAAAGCAATTGATTATTTCTCTGAAAGAAATAAGAGCTCAAGAGACAAGGGCAGTCCAGCTAAAGGAACTACTGGAAAGCTTTTCCACTAGTAGGATGCCAAAAACCTTGGAAATAAATAACACTAAGTACAGTGGTACCAAAGTGAACAGAAAAACCCCAGATACTCATAATTTACACTTAGGCTGACTACTAGATAGCCAGTAGCTCTGGGATACTGGAACATCAGAAAATAACCAGCTTTAAAAACAGATGTCATGAAAACTCTCATTTTTAGTAATTCAATCAGGTAAACACCACTTTTCTTGCTGCTTTTGGTCTTGGTGCTATTATGCATAAAAACACAGAGCAACAGTACATCTATTCATTGATAGCACACAGTGCCTTAACTTTTGACTCGGTATTTAACTCTAACACCAAAGGGTAGCCATGCCGAGAGGGATGGTAGCCGTATCGCTGGTAAAGCAGCCTCTTCCGTGCCCCAAGCACTCGGTCACATTGTGCTCCTTGGGATGACGTCAGCATTCCCGAACACACTGTTCATGCGGCTTTTGCAAAGACAGGAATCGTATTTCCCCAGTGTATTCTATCATTTAGAAACTTGGGCTGGTACAGACTGGAAGAAAGCAGTGACTGCTTAAACCAGTACTGCCACCAACCTATTCATCACATTCTATCCTTAGATTACTAACTGGAAGAGACCAGCAAAATAAGTTTTCAAGGGTGCCCTCTTCCCTCACAAGTTTAGGAAATATTAAAAATATTTACCTGGGCTTGAAGACTCAACAGAAGGCTAAAAAAGAAAACACAGGAAATTATTTTTTCTATGTTGAACCTGTACAAACTCAATTCAATAATTCATCTGATACAAAGAAAGTCACTGCATATAATATATTTATAAACAAAGCCCCACAAACATGCTGAAGCAATTTAAGGTAAATAGTATTAATTTTCTCCTTTATGTATCAACATTGCTGCACTATTTCAGCAAGAGTAATTGGAAGAACTGCCCATTTTGTGATGCAATAATTGGAGTTGATGAAGGTATAAAATAAAGCAAACCAATTCATTCTGAAAATAGTACTACAATTCCACAATCAGCTTAGTATGGCATAAATCAGTGCTATTGCCACGTGGGGCAATGCTACTTTCTCTCCATCTCTATCTGCTCATTTCCAATTCCTCCTTTATGCTGATACAACACTAAAACCTAACAGTTTTTAATAGATCCAGCTCTGATCTAACCCCATGTACTAAATCCCCTCTTCCACAACCAAGGTATATGCGAGTGGAAGCATAGGTTAATTAGTCTTATTTGAAACTGCATGCTATGCAATACACAAACCCCCTGTTTCTATTTAGATTAAGGTACACATTTTTAAAAGGAAACCACAAATCACAATGAGAATTCTTCATAGAACAAAAGGAAAAAGTAATTTAATCTCTAACCCAGCTGTGAGGAAAAAAAAACAACCAACCAACAATTATTTTGCAAGCCAGACTTTCTTCCCAAGTCCATTTATAACACAAATTAATATGATCACAGACTACAAAACAAATATATTTTTTTGAAATATAGGGAAAAAAAAAGAAGAGACTCCGACAACAATCTTTATGTAAGAGACATCCTTTTGCCTACCATATTTGATAATCAGAACCACATTTATAATCAGAATGAGTGTCGTCTTTCATGAAATTCTGTTCTCCTTTGCTTATAACTTTGCCAATCTTTAACCTCCTGGGATGAAATTTGCATGTCAGACATGCACACCTCATTTGTTTTGAAAATTCAAGCAAATGTTTCAACTATTTTCAGGAACAGACCTAATTAAGTGTTTTTTTCAAAGTTAGAAAGACTGACTTTTCTCCCCAGAGAGCTGCAGTACCCCTTTCCCTGCCACCTTCTGGACACGGAGATATTGTTTGGTAGCACAGATATCGCTACATTACATAATATACAAAGCTGTCTCTGTGAAAAACTGCCCGCCGAGAAATAATTTGGAAAACTTTAATTTGCACATTCACAATAGATACTTGTGTGTATAGTATACATAATACTGTATCTAGGTTGTACTCCTACTAGGATTTCAAAATCTGTATACCCAGAATTACATGCAAAACTAAACCTAGATACTAAGTTAGAAACTGGTAAATTTAAACTGAAGTAAAAACTTGTACTGTTATTATGAGATTTTCTAAAGCACTTTCCTTCTCCATAACTTCATCTCATAAGGCCAAGCACTCACTTTCAAAAGCCACTTCCACCCAAAACACGTGGCCTAGCTATGCAGCGAAATAAAAACTAAAGTAAAAAGAAATTCTGTGTAATTTTGAAGTCCTTTTACATTAGCAGCTCTTAAAAGTGAAAGGAAATACATCTTCTTAGGAATCACTGACCAAAATTCACTTATGTGTCTGCCGACTTTTTACCAGAGTCTACAATGTACAAAGGGAAACTCAAAATATATTTGCCGGTGTCAAGCAGAAAGCAGTATATACAGGTAAAAACACATCTTCATTATTTGCCTGAAGGGTGGATAGAAGATACAACAGACAAGAAGTTTTGCTCTCCTAACGTTGTAGAGCTCAAAGAAAATATAGAAAATATAAACTGTCTTCAGATGGAGACACTATAGTCTATTTCCCCCATACTTACTAACAACCAAATACGGTTTTAGGTTATGCGCAATATCACTGCTGACCTGCAAGAAATAGCTTTTTAGGCAGTATTAGCTCTAAAAGGCAGCACTGTACAAAGAATCCAAGAGAAATTATATCTGCACAATTAAGTAGACTGAAACTCATGGGAAGTGGGTAAGCACTAAAAAGATTTTTGAGAAATGTTGCACAATGCCATAGTAAGTTTCGCTAATGACTACCGTTTAAAAATCTTTCTTTGCAAAGCTTAACAAATTCCAGTGTACAGTATTACTAGCATATACTGAGCTAAAGTTGAATACCATCAGGCAGCAATGACTGATCTCTATTTGGTATGGGTTTTTTGTCTGATAAACTTGCAGAACTGGGTAATGCATAATAGGTAACACACAATTATTATTGCAAATTAATGAAGTCTTAGCGTATTGATTTGCAGCAATCACAGGTGGGAAATCAAACAAATTCAAACTGTTTCTAGCAGACAACGCTGAGAATAAGGTAGACGATACTGCATGCTCAGCCCAGAAAGACAGACATAACTCAGAAGTAACTTAGAAAGTTTTAAAATAAAGACTAAGTCTACTTGCAATTCACCAGGGCAGCGCAGAGACGCTGCTGCACGGTCTGCAGGTTGTGCAGAAGTCAAGATGCAGCTTCCCCATCCTCGTTACATCGCAGCCTCTGCCAGGGTATGCAGTCTTCTGCAAATACACCCAGCCTCAACCGAGACCAGGAAGCAAGCTGTGGAGATGCCATCCTCACGCAAGGGTCCCTGGAACCCCAGGATTCCCTTTCAACAAAGTACTGACCATGTGCAGTAGTATCAGGATACTTTGCATCCAGCTATCTGCAACATTCAAATAATGACTCATCGTTACAACATAGACTGCTCTCACCAAAATCGAGTGACTTGAATACCAAGTAGCTCTGAGATGGAAAAAGGAAAGCAGAACCAGGGCTGGTAAAGATAAGAAGGAAAAAAAGTATCCCCGTGACATATGATGAAATATTATTCCAGAAATGACTGCCCTCATAAGAGCAGAGAGCTGGATTTAATGTCCTAGAAAACCCTGAAAATAATCTATTCTGAGGGATAAAACACGTTACTTAGTAAACAATAAATACTGCAAATGTCATCTTCAAGCTCTTCTTTCTGCCCAGCCATTAAAACACATCATTATGGGATGGCTTTTACACAAACAAACGCTCCTGCTGATAAAAAAAAAACCACCAAACTTCTTTCCAACATACAACCCACACTTACTCGTGGCCAGTTTCTCTCTAACCTGGTACTAGCACTATTGTTAAGGTTAAATAACCACTCCCTACTTCCACGGTTATTTTTTGATGTAACAGAGGCATTTGGGGGGGGCCACTCAGTTGAGAAACAATTTATGCATTTATAGATCAGTAGTGCTAGTCTCAGCTTTGCAGTGGTAATCCACTGGGGAATTCTGGCTGGCCCGCGCACGGGGCAGGTGGAAGCTCTCCTTGCCGATTCATCTGCTGGAAAGAAAGTTCTGGGGAAAGGCCTCAAGTCAGAAGGAAAGGAAGGAAGAAAAAAGAGTATATAAACCAGGGATAACGGGAGCATCAGGGAGCCATGCTTCTAAAACTGAAGAAATCAGGATAGCCAGTGAGAAGAGGCTCATGGTATAATTATGGTTTTGTCCAGAAAAATAACTGTGACTTAAAGCACAAGAGCACTTGTAGAAAAGCAAAAATGGGTTTCTTTACAGCACCACCAGACAGGATAGGGCTTCCGAGGGAAATGTGAATTTCAAGCAAACAGAATCCAGCACGGTGTAACGGCAGTTCTGCCCTCAAGGGAGGGGAAAACCCCAACCCCAAAAGCACAGCTTTGCTTTCAGCCCGTTAAGGATTTGCTAACAGCCAGACAGACCTGTAGGAGGCCTCTTGATCCATAAGCCTTGTGTAAACGGGAACCACCAACTCCCCACCTCAACGAAAGAACAGGTTTCCTACAGTGAACTCCTCAACAAGCAGAACAGGGTCTGCTCTAACCTCTGCCCTGAAGCCATGCAGCATCCTTCAGATTCGTATATACCTTGCACGGTTTTATGCATGTGTGCACGTGCATGCATTTTTATGTGATTTATATATAAATATATAAATGTTGGAGCCTGTTGTTTCAGTCCTACTTGAAGTTTCCATTGCCCTTTACAAGTTTTCAGGATGGAAAAGGCACCATCCCCATCTTCAAGGATAAGGATCCAAAAAACTCCTGGCTGGACAGCCTTACCCGCAGGCAGGTAACAGAGCAAACACGAAGGACAAGGAGGGGACAGGACCAGTCAGCATGGATTTACAAAAGGGGAATTATGCCTGGCCAGCCAGAGAGCCTTCCTCGATGAGAAAATTGGCATGGTGGATAAAGGGAGCACAGGGGATGGATGCTGCCTGTCTTTACTTCAGCAAGGCGTTCCATGCCACCTCCCCTAACACCCTCACAAACTGATGAAGTGAGCCTGGACAAACAGGGATGCGGATGGAAAACTGGCTGAACAGCCCAGCTCAAAGGGTTGTGACCAGCGGCAGAGCCCAGCTGGAGGTCAGTGCCAGGGCAGAGCCCAGGAGTTGAGGCTGTCCAACATCTTCATTAGAGACCTGGACAATGGGACAGAGCACGTTCTCAGTGTGTTTGCAGCTGACACGACATTGGGAGGAGTGGTGGATACAGCAGATGAGTGTGCTGCTAGTCAGAGGGATCTCAACAGGCTGCAGAGACAGGCCAGCAGGAACCTCATCAAGTTCAACAGAGAAAGGCAAAGTCCTTCACCTGTGGGGATATCACCTCCTAGTCCAGGCACCTATAACAGATTGCTCAGAATCTTATCCAGTCAGGTTTTATATACCCCAAGGACAGAGACTCCTCAACCTCCATGGACAACCTGATCTAGTTTCTGATCACCCTTAAAATAAAAAGTTTTTGCTCTCATGAGACCCCCCTGCATCCAGCTCTGGGGTCCCCAGGACAAGAAGGACATGGAGCTGGTGGAGCGAGTCCAGAGGAGGCCACGGAGATGATCCGAGGGCTGGAGCACCTCTGCTATGGAGACAGGCTGAGAGAGTTGGGGTGGTTCAGCCTGGAGAAGAGAAGGCTGCGGGGAGACCTTA